TCATTTCTCTCAGTTTGCCACCAAAGCCGGGTAAAAGGTGTAAATTATTTTCCTTCTCGAGCAAATTATTTGGAATTTTGAAAAAAGATGTTAACGATAAACGGCTTGTAAATCCAGTGAAATACCACCATTATCCCTAAATAGTGTGAAGCTTGTTTAAAAAGTTCCAAAATTAATGTAAAATCAAGCACGAGGTACAAATAAAATTGTCGAAGGTTCAAACGTGAACGAATAACCTTGCTTTCTATTCGCTAACATAATGACACTTCTGACAGTTGGCTTTAAAATGGCTTTCTAGAGCGCGCGCTCGGGATAAAAACGAACAATAATATTGCTGATTTAATTTCTTGTTTTCTTATTTTCATTCACGTATGCGATTCAAGGAAAATTGATTACCTAACTCGTGAATTCCGCGTTAAATTGCACGCGAAAACCGCCTGGTTAGCTCAATTGGGAGAGCGCCGGACTGCTGTGCGGGAGGTCGAGAGTTCAATACCGGCCGGACCAACACTCAGGGTCTTAAACTTAATTGAGAAGAATATGCTTCCTTTCTTTAACATCAAGAAATGGTTAGATATTCTAGTCTTCTCGGATAGGGACGAATAAATGGAGGTCCCGTCTCCTGTAGGGTTGGGGTAGGAGACGTTAATTTCCCATGCACGAGATTACTGTGTGATGGATGTCCTCCCTGGGTTGGGTTGGGTGGGTAGGTGAAATCGCTACGGACTAAACACGGCGGCCAGAGGCGGCTGTCTGATTTCAACCTTTAAATTGTAACTAAACACATATGTTGTTTAGAGAAATAGAGACCTTGACCTTGATATCGCACTCATCGCTTCGCGATTCGTGCGAAATTCGAAATTCGAAATTCGAAATTCGAAGTTCCCTCGTAGGGTAATCAATTTTCCTATAGAACCATAGGAAAAAAAAAGTGAGGATAGTTTTTAAACTTGGCTAAACGGACCTTCTCTGTCTGGAGAAATCTTTTCAATTACATACTGTATGTGGGGAGACAAAAAGTTAGGGGTTACTTCTTTACAACATTGAATTTTTGTCTCATGGAATTTATTGATAGCTTGGTCTCCTCATATTAAATAGAAGTGTATCCCAAAGCCCCTTAGCAACATTTTGAGATTTACCGAACTACTCAACGTAACGTTATACATTTTTCACAAGAGCTCTCTAGTGTGAATGCGTTGTGAGGTAAGAGTGATTTCAAGTAGAACGTCAAAAGGGATAACACTGGTTTCCCTCTAATTTTCGCTTTAATTGATTTAGAGAACTCCCGCTTCTCTCTCAACTAATTAAGAGCAAATCTAATTGCTTTGGGTTCTCCTCGGCTTCTAGAGATGTTTTCTTCCACTCTGATTAGCTTTTGTATTTACACTGGTTTTGGTGTTTCGTCACTCATTTGAAAAGTTCTAATTAATCTACATTTGGTCTTGTAACCTTACATTGCTATGGTTATTTCACTAGGATCGTCAAATGTGAATAAAAGGGACGATGCCATACTCGAAAAAATTCTTACATTACTTGTGTACAAAGCTGCTGAGATAGATGGCCGCGAATTTCTCGAAATGGTCTTCAGCACCTCAGCTGGAAGATTAGTATTCAATCACTACAGAAACAGTTCTACATCACCAGGAGACGTTGCCAGAGCGAATGGACATACCAACTTGGGAGATTTCCTTGAGGATGTGAATGAAAGGTAAAACATTTTTACTTCTTTGTTGGATTATCTAAAGCCTTGTTGCCACTGGAAAAGTAATGCTCAGATTATATATTGTTAGAGAAGTCACTGATTTACAGAAAATAAGATAAACTTGGACAAAAGTGTGACCTTTATAATGGACTCCATAACGAGAGATTAAGGCCTTTGTGTTTCCGTGTTCTCGTGTTCTTGTTCAATATACGTTATTCATTCACTGTTTCTTCCTTCCTCCATACAGTATACCCGTACATCAATCATACTTGTAATTTGTTCAAGGGTTTTTTATTAAATTTTAATTTACATACAACAGTACAGCGCTAACACCACATAAAATACTCGCAGTAATTACGAAACCAACTATGCTCACGTTACTTACAATGCTATCCTTGTTTCCATTAATAGTTATCGATACTCACGCACGTTAAAGACTGCCAACAAAGATATATATGGTCGTAGTAGTAGCAAGTATGATAAATATTGTAAGAAATAGACATTTTTTTTGAGAGACATGTTTCGGCATGCTTATGCCATCTTCAATCAATGAGTAACAGAACGTGAGTAATTATATAACAGGCAAGTAGATGAATAAAATATATACAGTATGATGTAATAAAAAAGCGGGTACCAATTACAACGTGACGCCAAACATCAAAGGTGTGAACTAAAACGCTAGAAAAGTGTTATAATGCTGTAATTGTTTGTTAAGTTCAGGTTTGATCTTATTTATATAAAAAGCTTCTTTGAGTTTTAAATCAACTGAGTTGTTAGCAGAATCCGGAACACTAAAGCAAGAAAGGGAATATTTGTACTTACAAGAAGGAAATGTGTTGAAATGCTTAAAAATGTGCGAGTTTGTGGAACATTGATGACAATAATACACGTTACTTTAAACTCCCTTTTGTCGGCTATTATTGTAAAATAGCGAACCTCAAACTCCGACAACTCACTAAGCGCTTTTGTAAATCGGATCTAAGTATCAAACTAGTTTTCACTTCTTTTAAAATTAAAAACATGTACAGTGTTAAAGATCGTACTCCTGATGCTCTAAAATCCATTGTAGTTTATCAATTTTCTTGTGCGGGATGTAATTCTCGTTATATTGGCGAAACTAGTCGCCACTTCTCTACGAGGATAAAGGAGCACACAGAAAACGATAAAAACTCGCATATTTTTAAGCATTTCAACACTTCTCCTGGTAAGAACAAATAATCCCTTTCTTGTTTTAGTATTCTGGATTCTGCTAACAACTCGATTGATTTAAAACTCAAAGAAGCTTTTTATATAAATAAGATCAAACCTGAACTTAACAAACAATTACAGCATTGTAACACTTTTCTAGCGTTGTAGTTCACACCTTTGATGTTTGGCGTCACGTCGTAATTAGTACCCGCTTTTGTATTACATCATACTGTAAATATTTTATTCATCTACTTGTCTGTTCTATAATTACTCACCTTCTGTTACTCACTGATCGAAGATGGCACAAGCATGCCGAAACATGTCTCTCAAAAAGTTTTCTATTTCTTACAAAGGTTTATTTGTTTTTAATTAGCTTACACTACAAATTATATGATAATGTGCACTTTACATCATTTTCTTTCTCATAAAGGCTATCAAAAGAAGTTTGCTATGAAGACAGCTATGAAACTGTTGATTGGTTAGGGCTTAAGCATGCCGTGGAGAAGAAAGTTTGTCCACCTAGTAAGTTGTCACTCTGATAGTAAGATACAGGTACGTAGCACAGCATATCGGGTCCAGTAGAAGTTCGTTGCAAACAGCGAGTACTGGCTACACCGACTATCAACAGCTCCTTTTTTAGCATCCTTTTAAAGGAAGGGTTTGGAGTACCTTTACTCGTTAATGTTCCTGGCCCGTCCCAAACCAGGAATTTTTTGAAGTTTTTTATTGGCCCGCTGGTTTAAGTGTAGCAAGAGGTGAGTTATATCAGACCATAATTGTGGTTTTATTTGTTCACACCAGGTACTGATGATGCCCAATCGGTAGATTCTCCAGGTGGTGACATGAACCAGAGTGGCTACGAAGCAGACGATGAAGTATCACCGTTGCCATCACCCGCAGACACTGATGCGATTGGTAGCGAAATGGATGATTCACAGCATGAATCATTCATTCATGCTGATTCAGGGCATATCACATTAGGTAATTGTGGACTTTTTTCTCTCAGAAATAATTGCTCTGCCAATTCTACTCCCATATTATTTTTGTGCTATCACTCAGGCTTTTAGAATCATTTCAACAGAGCTGCTGTCCATTTTGATTTACTTTTCATAGTTATACGTCTAAAATTCAATTTTAAAAGCCGTGCAATATCTTTTGACGTTTCTAGCTTACCATGTTGTTCTATATCACTAGATAAGAATGATACTCTTGATTCAATCGCGACCGAAGCTGAAAGGCAATGACATCAGATAGGAAAGCT